TAGACATAGTAATTATCACTTGAATCCTACCTCTTAAGTTCTTCCTTTAAACTTGTAAAACTTTTCGAATTCCTCTCTCAGCTGTTTATAATAAGATCTCCCAGCTGTGTCAAGTTGTGCTTGAAGAGACAATAATGTCTCAGGTTTAGAGAATCCTATTAGCGCTAATATACAGGGAGTTAGTAATTTCTTAATTGTCTGTTTTTGTGGATATTCCTGTGCTGTAACTATATATTGATGTAGAACATGGTATGTGTAGTTAGAGAGAGCTGGGATAGAAGTATAAGACTCTAGCAAACGAGGGAGAATTGATATTTCAATGTTATCAAGCTTAAACACGAACTTCACCAGTTCTTTCGTCAGTAGTAGGAATACAGGTATACATGAGATAGTACTCTCAGGATAGTTGTGTAGAAGATTATGGAGAGATTTGCATTTGAACTGGAAGATGTTGTTTGGCGTCTCTTCAAACTTGTCCAGAGGTAATAAAGTGAGAGATGTTATACCTTGTACAACAGATCTATTGGATAATCCTATATGATTCGGTAGTGTAAATATTCCTGATAATAAGGATAGACAGATGAAAGCATCATTTCTGTTTATTTCTCTGTCGGTAAGATAGTCTGTTAGTTTAGTCAGGATTCTGTGAAATGATTTTCTGATCTCCCCCCTGTGTGTGTCGGGTATGTTACCTTCTATTAGCCCACTTAAAAGGCGACAAAAGATCATAAACTCGATTTTATCAACCATCTCATCCAGGAAAGTTCTGAAATTATGTAGATCAGAGCATGCAATCCATCCAACCATGAATTTCATACTCACAGCCCCAGATTCATCCATAGATTGTTTATTCAAAAACTTATCTATATCAATATCTACCGAGTAATTATGTTGTCTTAACGTATTTGCTATGGATGATAGAGCCTCTAGGCTTGAGCTGTCATTCACATTATGTTTAAGCAAGAGCTTTACTATTTGTCTTAGAATTAATTCAATTGCTTCAATTAATAGCTGAGTTGATTCTTGTTTTTTTGATAGAATTATATAACTCAGATTTACTGATATACTTCTCAATGCATTTCCCGTACAGCCATGTGTCCTGGTTATAATGTTAAGTAGAATTGGTGTAGTAACCTCGACAAGGTTATTAATAGCATTTCTCATTTTTTCACGCAAAAACCTAGGTTTGTTAACAATAGCATACGTTAGTTCATATTGCTGTAACGGTATTTCCAGTATATCAGCGCTCCATAGAGTTATAGTGTAATTTGTTAGTGATACGAATTGTTCGATATTTCTGTCAGAAAGAAAGATAGCAATCTCTGTGAATAATTCTAAACAGCTGATCTTGTTATCTCTGGAGATATTGTATGTGTATATTGTAAATTGGTCTAAGTTACATATATACTCTTCTACTTGGTTTCTCTCATATTTTAGCATCTTGCCATTCACTCCATGTAGTAATCTCACACAATACTCGAGTGTTATCTCAATTATCTCTCTATCAGCTACCGAGATGATCAGGACCTCTAAACCAAGGAATAGACACAGTTTAAGTTGCACAGATATCTGATTTAATGGAATAATATCTAACGGACAGAGGAGATCTCTCTCAATTTGTGAATCTATATTTCTTCTGTTCTTTGTATGAGAAGTTAGTATAGAGTTAATTTCTCGTATAATTGTATGGAAATCATTCTCTCTGCATTGAATCAGGTTTGTATAGAATTCTATGATTAATCCTATTAGAAGAGTATTCGTGTTTATCCGTTGGAATACTCGAATCATACAGCCATAACATATATACGAGTGTAATAGAGGCAGCTCCTTGAATTGAGGAGAATATAACACATTCCTTAGTGTATTATCAGTTGCTAATGAGTCAAGAATCCGCTCTGAAATAGCTAATAATGCTTGAGGAGAGAGTTTGTGTAGATACTGCCAGGAATATTGGAGAATTGTCACTAGAATTTCATTTTCATTTTTATGTGTAAGAATTTGTTCTATTGCTAAAGAGAGATTTTCTATTACATTGTCAGGTGGAATATTAAAGATGTTAGCTTCATGGTAACGAGACAGGGTTATAAGAATGTTCATTTGGAGTATCTCAATTCTCTTCAACATTTCTTCACTGAATTTGCTAGCAATATTTCTCCATTCGCTGCTCCATACTATTGGAATAATAAACCAGTTTATTTGCACTATTTCTAGTACTTTTAGAGATGAAATCGAATCTTTTGAGAATGATAACATTCCTAATTGAAGTGAAACTAACACGAATGCATCCAGGAGATTGAAATAACAGAATACACCTGGTAACGAAGAGGGAGTATAGGTATTTAATAGCGAATGTAGCCGATTAATAATCTCTAGGAATGTGTTCTTGTGTGTTTGTGTAGTATTGAGATCTCTTATTGGAGACACAGCAAGGATATGACAAAACAAACTAGATAGAATAACAAATGGATTATTCTCTATATCAGTTAATAATATTTCTAGACATTTATTAGAGGTGTTAAGCGAATTTATCGCAAAATATTTCTGAGTTATTTTCTTGATTTCAACCATAGGCCGCAGCAAGGCCTGATCCAGCTCGTTTGCAGCTGCTATAATAATCTGTATTAATTTGTCTAATTGGTTTAGCCTGGAGTATATCTCGAATAAACTGTCCAGTAGTTTCATCTCGTATACGTCTGTTGAGAATATATTTACGAATATTTCTTGTAGTTTAACTTCTACTATTTTGTGATTTATCTTCTGTATGTTTGTAATACATAGAGATGTGTATTTTGGGTATACGGTGTATAGAGGGATCAGTTTATTAAGGATATCTGAAAAGGTGTAGAATTCTGCGGATTCGAGCTCAGGGTCGTTAGGGAATACTCGTAAATGAGATTCTAACTGTTCTATAATTATCGATAAACATTCAAATCTTGAGGTTATAAGAGGTAGAGTTTTGTAGGTTGGAGAGTTCAATTGTAGTCCTAGAATGAACTGTTTGAGAGCTGAAATAGGAAATTGTTTGCAGTTTGTCTGTACCTCTGGAAAAGCTGATAGAAATTCCCTGAAAATAATCGGGAGATATTTATGGAAATATTGTAATTTTTGTATATTTTCTGCTTCTCCAATCTCCGCCAGATTTGAAAATAACTTCTGTATGTGATCTGTTTTCCTAATTTTATTACGAAAGAGATTTGTGTAATCTTCAGCCAGGCCTGTGTGAAAAAGCGCAGATCCCATAATTTCAAATACACCAGTATATTTATCCAACACCTGTATGGATATCTCTAACAGATTATCACAAAAGACCCCACAAACTCGTCTAATATTCGGGATATTATTTTGTAGCTGTATATAATGTAGACAGAGTTTGTTAGTACAATTCTTTATCTCATCGCTAACTGCGTTACCATTTATAACTTCTAATTGTAGCAATGATTGTAGGAGAATAGAACTTTTCTCTAACGAAGAGAATATAACTAACGCAGAGGGAAATGCGAGAATTTTGGGTAGACAAATAGCTGCATAATGTATAGCAGTATTATTGGAGGATTGGAATGCATCAAGAAGTATGTTATCCCATTTGATGTTGTAATTAATAGTAAGTGTTATGTCCCTATTCTCCTTGTGATATTGATCCAGTAGCTTGTTCAGTTTCAACCAGTTTGTTCCTAAGCTACTCATTTATCTTCTAATTACTAAACACATGAAAACAGATCAAAGATTTACAGAAAACACTCCCATTCAATTGTTATAGGATAAAATTCTGTCGGCTCAGATCTTACTTTAAGATATTTTCGTTTCGCTTCCAGTTTCTTATTATTTGATTTATAAGAATTACGAATTAGGTTATGAAGCAGTTGGAGCAGAATAAATACCGGGTAGTTGTTGAGGGTAACATAGCTTGTGGGAAGAGTACTCTATTACGTCATCTCTCCAAGGTCCCCTTCACAGAGGTACACTACGAGCCGATAGACAGATGGCGAAACATTGAGGGGGAAAATTTACTAGCTAGATACTACAGTAATGCAACCAGATATGCTTATCTATTCCAACAGAATGTATTGCAAACGATGATGGAAATACATCACCTGCCACAAACAGAGCCTTTATTCGTTATGGAGAGATCAGCATTCAGTAGTAGATACTGTTTCGTAAAGACGCTATACGAGAACAGATCTATTGAGGATTTAGAGTTCAATTGTTTTGACAGATGGTTCAAATGGCTAATGAGGGAGAGACCACCTTCTGTCGATTTGATTATCTACCTCCGCACGTCACCGGAAACCTGTCTACAGCGTCTGTACTCTAGAAGCAGAGAGGAGGACAAAGCTCTGCTTTTACCGTTCATAAAATCATTAGATGTTTGTTATGAGCAATGGCTAGGGACACCTGATAATCATATATGGCATAACAATACGCCAGTCTTGTTGCTAGATGGTAACTTGGATGTAGGCTCAGATGCAGCGCTACATAACAAGATGGTATCACAGATTATACAGAAATTGGAGAATATAACACCTCCTGAAAAGGTTATGAAAGCACAAATAGAAGTTTCTAATTGAACTAGTAATTTGAATTATATTCACTTATCTCACCGATCTTACCACTTCTATTCATAGTATAATAATGCACGCTATAACACTTTCAATCAAACTGTCTCTTATATGCTTTCTACATTGGGTATTTGTATACGAGCAGGTTGTGCTTACTATATTTTACTTGTAGATTAACTTTATATAGAAAATATTCTCGAACCTTCTCAGTATGATATTGATATTATGGCCAAGTGATAATTATGAGATTATATTTTATTATTGAAAAATGGCAAGAAATAACGTATTAGGTAAGTGATTGATGTTAATAAATAAATCGATATCTTTCAATGTGCTATTTAAGCTGAAGATCATTGTTACTGGAAATTATGAGTATCCATGGTTGTGCTATGTTGGTGCAATTATGACTCAATTATGACTCATAATTTTTATCAAAAAGATACTCGCCCAGTATGGGACTCGAACCCACGACCCTCAGGTTAAAAGCCTGATGCTCTAGCCAACTGAGCTAACTGGGCAGAGATAAATAATACATTCCCTCTCAGTAATTTTCACTGTATCTTCCGCAATATTTGCATTCGTTTTCTACTTAAAAAGCAAATTTACTTCCAAAACATTGACTAAAATTATTATATCTGATTATTATGAATTAACAAATGGTTTCCTCTTCTTCTTGCTCTTGAGGACAGCATGAGCAAGAAACTCTGACACTACATCCGTACCATCTGCATTTTGTAATGGCACACAAATTTCTTGTTTAGCTAGGATAGCATATAACAAGTGTGTTAGCTCACTAGAATAAGGTGGAACAATTACATTCAACACTTCGCTTACAAAATGTCGTATGAGAGACTGATCGAAACATCCTTTTTCACTACAATCCAGTATATAACTCATTACTTCAATCGAGTAGCCACATACAAACAAATGTATCATATGATCTAGCACAGTTTGTTGTAATTCTAACTCATGGTATATCTCTATTCCCTGGTTAGTAGCCTCGAATAACTCGGTTAACAACTCAAATACATCTGGGTGTAGTAAGCTATGCTTCTCTGATATCTCATCTAACAGTACGAAGTATATTGGACCATGGATTGGGTACACTTGAAAGAACTCTGAACCTCTCACTGTATGTGTGAACCAGCATAAAACACCTTTAGACACTACTGGATATGAAATAAACTGAATTAGATTTGAAAAATGAGATGGAACATCTGATAAGTTCAGAGTCAGCTGTTTACAAATAGAACTTGACATCTGAATAACTTCAATAGTTTCTTGTAGTTCTGCTTGATTGTCTGGAGGTGACGAATCAGCTGATATATCAGACGATTGCATAGTTACCGCATATGCTAATAGGAATATACACTTCTCTACATGATCAGTATTTGATGAACCGTTAGGATGGTATATCTCATCAACTAACAGCCTCAAGAACTGGGGTATTCTGAGTAGTAACACAGATCCTGTTGAGGAATGTTCCTTCCTAAAATATTCATAAATGGTATTAGCATCAGATATATGCAATGCATCTTTGGTTAGAATTGAATTGATGGATGCTAAGACCTGATAATCACAAGGGACCTGCTTAATTAGGAGATCGATTCGTGTTACGTCGATTCCCTTAATTTTAGCTTGTTTTGTGAGATAATGCGATAAATAACGAATTGATAATTTATTCTGATTATATGTTTTGTTTTGTTGTTCGCTAGAATCTGTGTCTTGTTTTGTAAGAGCTAGAATATTATCAAAATTGGTTAGGAAATCTAGGAAAGTTTGTATTAGGAAATAAGCGTGTTGGCTGTTTAGTGCGAGCTGTGTGAACTCTTTCAGTGTAGAGTTACATTTGGAGTTCGGCTCTACAGCTTCATTCAGATTGAAAAGTATTTTAGTTAGAGATGGATTCAAAATAGTTTGGAAATATTGGAAATTTGTAGAGGCTGTTTTTACGTTAATTAACTCGCTATGATATCCCGAATTAGCTATCAAATCTTGCATTAGTTTAAGCATTAGACAATCTGGGTATAAATCCAATAGTTTGTATATCATTTGTCTCCAATATTTCTCATTTATCATCGTCTCTAGCCACGGAGGTATGTCGTGTCGTGAAAATATTTCGTCAGCTTTTTTAGGATCGAAATTCCGCATTACGAAATCTGCGAAATGATTCATATTCAGTTCATTTATACTTTTGGCTGTGTAGCCGAGTGAGGTGAGGAGACCTTGGAGGACATAAATCGCGAACGGAGCACACTCATAACTTTCAAATAACATCTCGTAAAGTTCCCCGAGTGCATGTCCGTCTGCTATGTACTTATCCACCACAGGGTAGATAGAAGGTTCTAGAATAAAATCCTTTTGACTCAGGTCATGTTCTAGACTAGTGTCTTGTTCCTGAGGAAGTTCTAGAGATTTAGAGATATCATTGGATGTATCAGTTTCATTGCTGTCATCCATCTTATTGGAAATAAACTATAAAATTGAAGCAATTATTTTGTAATGTAAATATTTGTATTTTGATATGTGTACTCGTTTAAGAGGTGCTTACAAATTACAGCTGATTAAGGAATAACCTGTGAAAGCATCAAAAATTGGGCTTTGGGAAAGAAAACACCCCTTATGCTATTAAATGAAGGTTCATTTCTCATAGACGGAACATAACCGTACTCAACCTACAAATTCTACTATTAATCCATTATAGTTATATCTTTATAATCTGCCCTGAGAATCCATCCTCTGCTAATCTCAGTCTACAGAAACTCCCTCCTGTCTCTCCTCTCACCAATCTCCCCGGGTTAACACATAATGTCGGTCCCTCTAGTCGTAAGAATTCTTTCATCTGTGAGGGTATAACAAGTATATGCGGACGCTGATTTATTGCTAAATGAATACCTTTCGTGATTTCTAAATTAACCTCAACACTAGGAGGGTAGAGAGGATAGAACTTCCTTTGAGAGAATAAATGTCCCAAAATTCTAGCAAATCGATCTGTCATCTCAACAGCTACTTCTTTCTTAACCATGTGCGCGATAACGTCAGTGCTAGAAACCGCGAATCTAATAGTATTAAAATCAAATTGTGCTGGATTCGGGTACAAATGAGAGTGTGTTCCTATTTTAGCTGGGTTCGCACCTTTTAAAATATTCTCTTTCAAGTTCAGATTCGGATACGGGGGTTGTGGAAATATAGGGGGATGATAGATATCTTTCAGTGACGGAATTATCACTACTTTAGTCCCAATCTTACTTGTAGCGTCTAGAAGAATCTCTATCTGCCTTCTAAACAGCTCGTCATAGCTACATTGTAGCTCTGGAGTTCCTAATGCTGTATTATCCTCTGACACAACTGGTCCCATCATGATTAAGAGGTCAGGTTTAGCTTCGTTAATTACTTTTATGAAATCATTCAATGGTTCATACTCTAAGTCCTTAGATGACGTATAAGGCCCAGCTATTATATATACGATAAGAGGGCATGTAGTGATCGGTCTGCCTATTATGGGAGGAGGTACTCCTGTTCTAATCTCTCTTACATGAAAATACTTCTCATCAGGGTTCTTGTATCCACGGACCGCGATTATCTGTCCGGGAAATAGAGAGTATTTGTCTAGCTTTGAAATGTCCAGTTTAGCCCATCTGTGTCTCGCAGAGGTCTCTCTTGTACCTACGATTGCAAAAGAAGCGGATTTTAGTTCAGAATTGGCGTGCTCATCTTCGTTATCGAAATCAGACGCCAGACGGCCTGATACCCAGATATCCTGTCCGCTAACTTCAAGAGTATCAAACTCAGGAATGTCTAACTCAATCGCCATCAGCTCTGACATCTCGTCGGCCTGTTCATCCATGACCTGAGCATCTATAGCTTGTTTTGGGTCCATATACTTGTATGGTGCTGTGAGTGGTTTAACCGCAGGATGACTAGATACCAATTCTATCATACACGGGTCTCTGTCTGTCGGGGGAGAGGAGTTGTACCATTTTATGGTTAGACTAGCGTCCTTCCATTGGTCAGGGAGATGTTCCTCGTTGATCGTAGCTATAATCATGCCTCGATTCTTCCTGGCAAAATAAGGAGTATCTTCTGTAGGATCATGTTTAAAAACCGGGATCCCTTCTTCTCTCTCATCCATAGTTATCAGTGATTGCATTGAACTAATCTCCTTCCTAGCTTTCTCCTTGGTCTCTTCGTCAGCATACTTCTCAATCATCTCCAGGTCTTCAGGGGCTGTAACCATTTCCCCTTGTCTCCGATTGGTGCCCACACGGGCGATGGATACAGGCTTGCTACTGGATGCCAGCGCAACTGAACTAGACTGCTTTAACACTGGGAGGAAAGTGTCCAGGTCATCTGGAGTCAGGACAAATTTAATGTCACCACTATCAACTTTGAGAGTGTACAGTATCCATTCGTCTACGAATTTGTCTGCTTGAATTCCAATTGCATTACACGTCTCTTGGATACGTGATACCACTACTGGGTCAGATACTTTTATATCAAAGCTATCCAGCTGTTCCTTCACGTTATCCTCTGTTGTTACTTCTGTATTAGACATACGACTACTCGCTATAGAGTATAAGAGGACAGTTCAATGAGGTCAAATGTTCTGGTACCAAAGGCATAGTTCTAGAATATTCTGCGATTCCAAGTTATTTATCGATACGTGTATGCCTGTTATAAAAACATGTATTACTACTCCCAAGGGTTTTCTTATAACCGACATACACTGTATTTAGAGATAAGAAATATAGAATAGCACAACATGGCTACTCCTACAATATGCTCAATAACAGAACTAGTTGCCACACACGACTACACACCAACAGATGAGTCAGAGACTAGTGAGATAGAGCTAGAGTATCTCTACGAGGTAAGAGCTCTGTCTGAGTTCAGGAGTCAAGAACCAGAAGACATATCATTCTCTAAAGAAGAAATCCTATACATTATAGATGATAGTAGGAAGGACGGATGGTTACTAGCGTATAACGAGGATGGAGATCAGGGTCTAGTCCCTGGTAACTATGTAACTGTAGAGAATGTAGTAGAAGAGGAGCCTAAGCCGAAACAGACAGGAGCAAGTGTCTGGGCTAAGGTGAGGGAGAACATGGCCCCGGATGCATTTAGATTAGCCCTTAGAGGATTTGGAGTTACTCTCCCCTCTGGATTCAGGGAGTCAACACTCGCGAAATTTCACACCTCAACTCTGTCTACCCGCTTCAAACCTAAGCTCTCAGTATCCGGACTTAATTTCGTGGACCCTTGTCTAAAACCTACTCACTATAGCCCCGCACTAGAGAGAGAATTGTCTATTCTTTATGCGTCAAATGTTCCAGAGGTTGACAACCAGCTTAACGTCATTAAAAGTCAAGTCAGATTGTGTATATTTAACAGGAAATCTGATATTTTATCTAACATGCTAACTCTAACAGCTGTAATGTCGTCTGGTGATAAGAAGACTTGGAAACTTAAGAAAGGAGTATCTAATCGTGACGTAATCCTCTCTGTCAAGGAATTAGAC